TCTCTCTCTCTCTCTCTCTCTCTCTCTGGTCTTTTTGAGACAGGGTCTCCCCTGTAGCCCCAGCTGAGATCTGCCTACCTCTGCCTCCCCAGTGCTGGGATTAAAGGTGTGTGTTACCACGCCCAGCAGATCTCACTCTTTTTAAAAAGATTTATCTGATTAATTAATTTATTTGTTTTGTTTTTGGAAGCAGGGTCTCCCTGTAGCCCCAGCTGTCCTGGAACTCCCTATGTAGACCAGGTTGGCCTCAATCTTACAGAGATCTGCCTGCCTCCCAAGTGCTGGAATTAAAGTCATGCACCACCATGCCTGGCTTTATTTTATTTTTAAATATGTATATGTCTGTGTCTGTGAGAGGGTTTGTACATGTGAGTGCACTACCTGCAGAGACCAGAAGAGGAAGCCAGATTCCTTAGAGCTAGAGTTTCAGGTGGTTGTGAGTTACCCAACATGGGTGTTAGGAACTGTACTCAGGTCCTCTGAAAGAGCAGCAACACACTTAACCACTGAGTCCACTCTCTAGCGCCTACTGCAGATCTCTTTAGGCTGGGGTGCTGGGCATGGTGTTGTCTGCCTTTAATCCCAGCACTGGGGAGGCAGAAGCAGGTGAGATCAAGGCCTGCCTGTTCTATGTAGCAAGTTCAAAGTTAGCTGGGGCTATAGGGAGACCCTGTCTCAAACAAACAAAGATTTGTTTTATTTTTATTTTTATATAGGTATGTATGTCTCTATGTATATATGCTCACATATGTGTTTGTGCCTTGGGAGCCAGAAAAAAATGTATCGGATCCCCTGGTACTGGAGTTACAGGTGATTGTGAGCTGCCCAATGTGGGTGTTGGGAACCAAACTCAAATTCTCTTTAAGAACAGTAAGTGTTCTTAACTACTGAGCTCTCTCTCTCCAGGCCCCCAAATGAAGTCTTTAAGCAAAAATTTTTAAAATTATTTTTATTTTATGAGTGTTTTGCCTTCACATATGTAAGTGCACCATGTAGTGCAATGCCCTCAGAAGCCAGAAGAGGGTGTAGATCCCCTGGAACTGTAGTCATAGATGGTTATTAGCTGCAATGTGGGTGTTGGGAACCAAACCCAATGCAAGAGCAGCCAGTGCTCTTAATCACAAAACCATCTCTCCAGCCCCCCAAAATGAAGTCTTAGTGATTATTAGTATTTTGTAATACTATACATAAAAGCACAAAGAGCCGGGTGTGGTGGCACATGCCTTTAATCCCAGCACTTGGGAGGCAGAGGCAAGTGGATCTCTGTGAATTCAAGGCCAGCCTGGTGTACATAGTGAGTTCCAGGACAGCTGGGGCTACAGGGAGACCCTGTCTCAAAAAGACCCAAA